TATGAGACAGCTCGATTGGCTTTCCTTTGGAAAGAACTAATGGGTGGATAGGTTTTACCTTAGACTGAGCTCTGGTAACGACGTTAATCGAGTCTAGTTGTTGTATAGATTGTGCCACACGTAGTTTTCCACTGGCGTCTACGTTGTCCAGTTCAAGTGACTGACTTACTAAAGGTGTTACCGGAGTTTTGTAACCATCAGCTCTCTGATTTAGGTTATCCAACTGAATCTCATCTGGAACTATCTGTGAAGAAACAGAGATATTAGGTTCCAACCCTTCCTTGGAAACTCCAAATTCCAAACAGTCCTTCTCAGATGGGAAAGTAGCCCCTTGTATGTTCCCAACCAAAACAGAACATGAGGTTATCGGGGCAACTACGGCATCTACCCATCCTGAGAACCATTTGCACCTAACGAAACATCTGACTGTTGGAAAAGAATCGCTTCTTCCTAAATAGTCAGTTAACTTAGTGGACTTATAACGTGAAGAATCTAGGTTAGGGAAAAGCTTACTTGAGATAACAATACAGGAACATCCAGTGTCTCTAAGAATGGTTGACACATTCATGCCATTGACTGTACCTTCACTAAAAGGTGCGTTTATGTTTGATTCAGTGAAACATTTACCGACATTTTCACCTTTTTTTCTAGGACAGTCGGGCCGCCTATGACCCCATTCATTACAGTTGAAACATTTTACTGTGAAGGCCGTGGAATTCTTAGGTACGGAGGGTTTGGATCCCTCAGATTGCTTAGGCACAACAGGCTTATATCTGCTACGCTCTTTAGGGTAGTTATTATGAGCGCACGCATATATATCAGCAGCTTGTGCCATTTCTGCAGCCGTATGAACGTTTCGTTCTTTAATGAATATTCGTAAGTCAGAGTTTACAGAAGAAAGGAATTGATCTCTTACCATCAGGTCTCTTAAAGATTCGAAATCGTGGTCAATCTCAGCACTTTCAATCCACGAATCAAATAATCTGAAAAGTGTTAAGAATTGCATATAATTTTGATTAGGAGTTATTTTGATGTGTCTAAACTCCGACCTGTAATGATGAGTAGTTTTTTTGAAAGCCAGAAGTATAGCTTTCTTCAGCAGGCTATAACTAGAAATAACATCAGAGGGTAGAGTGGAATAGACGTTTAATGCTGAACCTGACAGTAGTAAGCCAAGCCTAGTAGCCCAAGAATCTGATGGCCAGTCACAGAGAGTAGCAGTACTCTCGAATCGAGTAATATATGCCGCTATGTCATCTTGTTCTGAGAAAGGTGGTATTTGTGGCATCCTAATATTAGGTTCTTGGGAAGGATATTCTAGTACCCCTTCATCTATTTTCTGTTTAGATAGTTCTATCTTCTTGGCTTCTAATTCCAACCTTGATTGTTCTAACTCCCTCTGCTTAGCCTGTTCTTCAATTTCCTTCATTTTGAAGGCTACCTCTCTTGCCTGAACTCTGTCTTCTCTAGCTATCCTTTCCTGTTCGATTTTATCTTCCCGAGCTAGTCTTTCCTGTTCCTTTTTCTCTTCTCGAGCTAGTCTTTTCTCCTCTCGAGCTAGTCTTTCCTGTTCTTTTTTTTCTTCTCGAGCTAGTCTTTCCTGTTCCTTTTTCTCTTCAATAGCCATTTTAGCAGTGATGTAACTATCAAGGCTTTGTCCAGTAAATCCCATTTCCTTTCCAGCTTTCAACCAGAAATCTAAAGAATCCATCTTGTAAAAAGAAATATTAAGCACCCAACTTCAACTGACAATTAAAATTAACAGTAACGTCTGTTACAAAAGAGGGACACAGTCCGCACACTTTAAACTTCCCAAAGTAGAAAATGAAATAAATATTTCTCCCTGGAAGGATACACTTGTGGGCTCAATAGCCTTCACTAAGCAAAATACACACGGTTCACACAGGAGGGGTTATCATCAAAGTTCCCCAGGTCCAACAAATAGGTAAACTTCTAAACCGAACCCTAGAACCAAACAACGGTAAGTCAACCAGACTACCAGTAATGACTTGACACCTCAACTAACTCACCCTTTTCTATCTTAAATGTTATACTCACAACCAGTTGAACCATCAGGACGATGTTGCTTCAAGAGTCGGATCCTGGCAAGGTCGCCATTGTCAGTGGAACGCCTTCCAACTGAACAAAAGAAATTAATGGAAAAATAAATAAATAAAGAAATAACTTAGGAAAAAATGAGAAAAATGATTTTTGAGAATTTTACTTAAAATTTAAATATAATAAAAAAAATGGCCTTCAGTTCTTTGAGTTGGGCAGGAGTAGGTATGGCCCTGGATAGTTCCTCTGATGTTATTTATGTTGGTTATCCTGGGCAGATGGTAATCCGATGTTCTGGAATCTCCTACCACTTGGATGGAGCACAAGTAGAATAGGTAAGGGCCGGTAGTAGCAGAATAATGTTAATAAGTATTATTAACACGTCTTGCTCCTTTATCTGGCGTCTATCCTGGAAGACCACGCCAGGAACAGAGCTGGTAAATAAAAGAAAATAAATTGGTTACCCATAGTTATGATAATATAACATTTAAGAATTGAAAAGAATGATAAATGCCAAAATCATTACTGGTAACCAGCAAATAAAATAAAGAAACAAACAGTGATAGTCCTGGTATATCACCCTACCTGATTAGGAGAAGAGTGGAGGTGAAGTGACTCTCCAAACTTCAACCCACACCAGGTAAGGTCAATATTACCAGGAGTAGAAACTAACAAATCGGACACCAGGAACTAGTTTCGCCCCAGCCCGCCAGAGAGAAGGGGGGGGGGGGTGCACGCGACGTAACTAATGGTTCCTGGTTGCCCGAACAACCTTAACCCCACTTACACCTACTTTTCCCTCACAATATGTACACCTGTTAACCTTTTTGGGGCCTAGTTCCTAGGCCTTTTGTGTATCCATATGCTCTTGCGCTACCGTCCACAGGATGGATATGGAATGCACAATAAACTAGCCACTTCTGTGGCAAAATCTAGGCGTCGCTAGGGTTGGTGTCACCCTGGGTGGCATCTTTGGAGTCACCCCCATGAAATCTAAGGGCAGAGGGATAGGGGTAGTAGACTCCAGTTACATCACTGCTTTGTAGATGAATGGTTCAGAGAACCGACATGTTGATAAATTAGACATGTGCAACTCTTGGGTATCTTTATTGAGGAAACGTTTCGCCACACAGTGGCTTCATCAGTCCAATAAATATATATATTTATATATATATATTATATATATATATATATATATATATATTATATATATATATATATATATATATATATATATATATATATATATCCATATATATATATCATTCTATTCAAGATTGATGGACTGACCACATCGACTTAAGGTTGAGGGACTGATTACCTCATTCTCCTCCTGTTCTTCAAGATTCTCCTTTGTATGGACTGATGAAGCCACTGTGTGGCGAAACGTTTCCTCAATAAAGATACCCAAGAGTTGCACATGTGTCTAATTTATCTACATCACTGCTGCATGACCAGTGACTAATGTATAGCAATGAGAACGTTTAAAGGCCATAAACCGAACTTTATTAATGATAAAATAAATGATCGTAGTAATATTATGGAAACAAACTCAAATACCACTTTGAGTATAGACAACAGATCCTACATTTATTCATCTTCAACACTGAAAAAAAACTTGAAAAAAAAACTAGTTCCGATTTAACCTTGAGTACATCTAACATCTCAAAGAATTTGATATTTCATTTCCTTGCCTTCAATCCTGCAAAATCATCTATCACATCAAAATCAGTGATTTTCCCTATATAGGATTATTTGTACTCTATAATCTTATAATAGCCTATATAGAAACGAAGGATTTTTCTCTTAGGTTGCTGCAGCATGGTTTTGGTCATTAGTGTTACATTCTTTAGAGGCTCTATGGTGTCCCCCCCTCATGGAAGGTTCCTTGATGTTGGTGAGGGGCTCTTGATTTAGGGAATTGGATCTGTGCTCCAGTTCCCCGAATTAAGCCTGAATGCCTTCCACATCCCCCCTCCCCTGGGCGCTGTATAATCCTACGGGTTTAGCGCTTCCCCCTTGATTATAATAATAATCTATGGTGTCCTCCCGTAAATGGTGTCACCCGGGGCGGCCCTTACGACGCCCCTGTTCTAGAGCATCCAGGAAATTGTCATAGTGGTCCAGTAGTTGGGATAGACAGGAGCGACCTGCTCTAAACCCATGTGCAGCGCTGTATGGCCCTTGTGGTTTAGCGCTTCTTTTTTTATTATAATAATAATCTAAACCCATGTTGCCCTGGGTTGTGTAACTGATGGGTGACGATCTAGCTTCTTAGAACCCTTTAAAAGATTTTTATGATACGGAATGTTAGCACTATCGGTCTGTAGTTCTTTGTTATTGCTTTACTTCCCCCTGTTATTTTACAATGCAATGGTCTACTATACGTCATTTTATAGGAAAACTTTTTGTGAGAATTATTAAGATAGTCAATTGGTTTCTAACAGAACAAACCCCTGAGGGAGGGAGGAAGGGGTTTGTTAGAAGCTAGGTATACCTGGAATATTACTTGGAGAGGTTTAGGGGTCAAACGCCCCGCGGCCCGGTTCTGAGACCAGGCCGTGGTGGATCAGGGTCTGATAAACCAAGATGTTACTACTGACACACGCAAACTGACGTACGAACCACAGCCGCCTGGTATGGGTGAGGTCTGTTGCTTACACAAAGTTACTGTTGCTGCTACTACTCTAGGGGTATACCTGGCCTTCTTTCCACACACTAATTATTTTTTCAGTGTTCGGTTTCCATATTTATAAAGGCTTCCTATGTCAGCTCCGTTAACTTTAACACTAGGCGGTGGCAGTTTACCATATAGTTAATTTTAATTCTTTATTGTTCTTATTCACACATTAATTTAATAATTAATTACTTGGTGATTTAGGGGAAAATGTGTGACCCGCATCACAATGTTGGCAAGCAGTGGTATGACTCCGCCACGTTACCTTGCCAGAAGTGCACTAGTAGAGAGAGAGACGTTCAAGAAGCAACTAGAGTAATATTTTAGCAGCTAACTGTATCCCGTACCGTCATTTTTAACACTTCGAATCTTGTGTTAGCTTGCGTTTAAAACTCCTCACTGCGAGGCACGAACACGGCGAGATCTCCAACAGCAAGCTTCCGTAATCAAGTTTTCACATCAGCAGTTGTTCTTGTGAACATCAGCGACGCTCCTTGAAGTGCCTTCTGAGTCTTGCACAGGATGGAAGGGTCCGAAGAACCTCCAGTGACCGAGGGAGTCTTGAGTTCGACATTCACCCCAGTGGACTACGTTATCTTCACTATGCTGCTGGTGATATCGGCAGGTATCGGCGTGTTCAACGCCTTCAGGAGTCGTGGAATGGTGACGACTCAGGAGTACCTGCTTGGAGGTCGTACCATGCCTGTCCTCCCCGGGCTATCTCAGTCCTCGGGGGAGTCGTATCTGCTGTATCCTTACTTGGTATGTAAGTTCCTTCATAGAAGTGAGGTGTAATGTGGCGGTATAGGTTAGGTAAGGTCTGTCAGGAAACAGGACAACTGTTTCCTGACGCGGGTCTGAGTCATGTGATGACCCGCTGCTGAAGCTTTTGGTCATGTGACTATACCTTCCTCTGGCTTACCGACATTTATATATATATAATATATATATATATATATATATATATAATATATATATATATATTATATATATATATATATATATATATATATATATATGTCGTGCCGAATAGGCAGAACTTGCGATCTTGGCTTAAATAGCAACGCTCATCTGCCATATAGGACAAGTGAAAATTTGTGTATGCAATAATTTCGCCAAATCATTCTGAACCTAACTAAAAAAATATATTTCACTGTGTTTGTTTAGTATTAAATTATTGTAAATAAATCTAAAATATATTTAGTTGGGTTAGGCTAAAATAAATTTTTCTTGTTATAATAAGGTTGGGTAAGTTTTCTAAGTTACTTTTGGTGCAAAATTATAAATTTTTACATCAACATTAATGAAAAAAAATATATCTTAAAACGTATAAGAGAACATTTTAGAAAGGACTTAATTTTAATGAGTTCTTGCTAATTGACCAGTTTTACATATTCGGCACGACATATATATATATATATATATATATATATATATATATATATATATATATATAGAGAGAGAGAGAGAGAGAGAGAGAGATAATATCGGTAAGCCAGAGAAGGCCTCAGTCACACACACACACACACACACACACACAGAGCTGAGTCTCGACCCCTGCAACCACAATAGTGTGGAAAAATACTGTATATATTTTCCGGAAATACGGTAATTTGTAGGTAAATAGATGCCCTATATTGTATTTTTAAAAGAAGTAAGTTATCGAAAATGGGAAACCTGTGGCTGGGGGGTCAGTCGCCATTTTGTTTGAATTTGTATTAGAAACATTGGTGTAATGGGAAGATTTTTCGTGCTCTAGAGGTTAATATTGGGCTGACACCTCTCAAATAGGAGACGAAATTGTTGGATGTGTATTCCTGCATAACTTGAGATATCAGGCGACTGGACAAGGACAGCTCCAGGAACTTCAGATAAGTCTTATGTAGTAACCTGGGCCAGTGTTATTTTCATAGATAGACAGTGAGGTTTTCTGAGTATGATACACATTAATCTCCAGTCAAATTGGTGAGTGTTATGATTTTTAGATATTCTCTGTTATGTAATTGTGTATATCTATAATTATTCTTTATTTTTAAATATACAGTCCACCAAATTTATATATTTACCAGTATTTCTGGTGTATGTATATTTCATTTAATTAATAGGTCCAGAGCAACTTGTGGATATGACAGTTGTAGGTATCGAAGGGGGACATTTTTGTGACCTAGGTGTCCCAAATTCCTACTTGTCGATGTAACTCTGATAAATAATAATTATCTTTGTTATCATTACTGTTATGTATATAATGATACATTCAGATAAATGCAATTTTCCACAATTAGGTGAGTAAACACACCCCCACACGGGATGCAAAACCGAGAATAATTTGTGAACTTCCCAAACCCCTTTT